AATTGCATTGCTAGTTGCAAATCACCTCCCCCTGCAGCTGTCACCTCCAGAGAATCTGACTCAAAACATGGCAGCAGGGACGGTGTCTCAGTACACAAGCTTTTTCAGGGCAGCATTTAGAGATGGCTCCAGATTATGGTTTTGCCTATTCGAAAGTATTTTCATAGTAAGCTGATCACTAATAACATCAGAAGTCACTCAGTCTGTTCTAACACATCTGTATGGGCACAAGAAGGGTACAGGTCTGTTCTTCTCAAGCTCTCCATGCACTTCTTCAGCTTGGGATTGTCAGAGAAAGGGTCCCTCCTTCTGAAGAGGCTGTATTTTCTCAAGAAGAAGCTCTAATGACTGAATTATGGGCAAGCTGTCAAGCAGCAAAATGAGAATACATGCTCTTTTGGAAAGCTGCTGACTTGGGCTAAGCAGTAGGGTTTGGTTATATCAAATACAGGTGGATTTTGTTTGGCTTTGTAAAAAAAAAAAAAAAGACATCCCAGTTGGTAGGAACTATAAGAAGGGTCAACATCCTAGTAGAACTATAGTGGACACCCCAGAAAGAGGTTCTGTATATAATCAAAGCTCTTGCATGACCAGAGACAGATGTGACCTTGTCATTGTCAGAAGCAAGAAGGCTTTGTGTAGAGCCACCTTGTGGGACAGGGCACTAAAACCACCTGGGTTAGACAAGGCCATTAGATGAGAAGACACAGACTATCCACATGGAATGTGGAGCTGGAGCTTTTGGAGTGTTACCAAATAGACTTGGAAAAGGCTGTTCAATTCCAGCAGACTCAACCTGATAAATGCTGCCCTGGATTCCAATGGTTGCATCCATTGATTAACCAGCAAAACCAAGAACACAGATGTTCAAAATGCAGCCCTAGAAACCTTCCCACCTCAGCATGGAAAGCTGGCAACTGCTTTGACTCATGGATAGCACTTATGCCCAAGATGCCCCAATAGTTGAGGAAGTCCAGGCCACTGTAGTAGACAAGGTCAGCAATAAAAGGGGTACAGTTACAAGGCACCCCTTCTCTTGGCTGGTGTTGTTCTGAGGCATTCCAAGCTTTGACGAAACTCAGAAGTCCTCACACCAAGAGCAGCTCTTTGCTTTTCACTTCAAAGCCATGAAGGAGACACTGCTTTGAGTCACTGTGGCTCCAGGACCAACCCAACCAACAGGTCCATCAAAGAGGTAAGGATACATGGAGCGTGACTCAAGCCAGAAGAAAGATGCCTTTCACAACAAATACTTATACATGCAACTCAAGGCTAGGACCTTTTCTGGTCTCCTGGAAAATGGCTGTGAAGAATTCCAACATACTCTGGACAGGCAAAATATTTTTCTAGAAAAACTTGGGAGGCAACCCCAGTGACTAAACTGTTTGGCAATTAAATCCTGAAGTTGCTACTCTGCTCTTTCTTTTGAGATCCAGTCACTTAGACAATCTACCTCCAGCTGGAGTTCACAGACAAAACTTCTGGATTATAAGTGACATTCAGCAAAACAAACCCTCCATCTACTACTCAATCCCTACTGCTAGAGAAGAGAGCTGAAAGTGATCCAGGGCTTATACACATTGTTGTTTTAAGCCTAGAAATAAGACTGTAGCCAGTTGCAGGCTGCCCACAAAGATCTTTTCAGTCAGTACACTTGTACAACGTACGTTGCCAAGGGTGTCTCACTACCTAGTTAGTGTCTGAGAAGTCATTTCCTAAAATGCAAAGCCCCAAGAGCTCTGACAGAGCTGTTACTGAAGTCTCTAGATATGCTGATGTCAAGGGAGGAGGAAAAAAAGGGCAAGGCACCACGTGTCAAAGGGCTGAGGTCTAGGAACTTGTGACAGACCCAGGACAGATGACACACAGGTAGCTTGGCTAAATGCAGTGCTGCAGCTAATAGTTCCCAACACCTTTGCTTAATGCAATGTCTTTGTAATCTCTGTCCTCATAAACAAGAACTGCAGAAAAACACTTGGGAAAAAAACTGCAGGGAAGTTCAAGTTTCTGTCTTTACAGTGCAACATCAACACTCCCAGACCCATCTGAAAACTCCTTCAACTTAGAAGCTAAGGGACCATTAAAAATTCTGTCAGATCTGATGTAGTGGAAGGTGCAAGTTCCTTGTGTTCAGTAAGAGCAAGTCCCAGCTGCATACCTACAATCTTCAGATCTCTACACACACTGCTGAAGCTGATGGTTGGACCAGCCTAACCATCCAAACAGCTCTACAACTTGCCACCTGATTGAGAGAGTCTTTCAGGTTTATGTCCAAGTTCTACTTACTTACAGGAACACAGTGTGGATACCACATGAGACTACCTGGGGAAGAGCTCTGCTGATGCTCTCATCCTGGTTTGAAACTAAACAGAACACATGACATTGATTCATCATGCTTTAATCTTGAACTGCATTATCAAATTATACTGCAATGATCTCAAAATGCACACACTTCAACAACCTCATGTGTTAAGCTTCCCAGGACAAAATTCAACCTTCATAGGGGCTGGACTGACCCGACCAGAGGCAAATCACTTGCTTTGCCTCATCATTAACCTTTCCAGACAGTACCAAGCCAGTTCTCACCCTCCTGACTTTCATGTCCTGGGCCAGTCAACAACCAAACTCTTCTGCCAGCCTGGGGTCCTGGGAAGGAAGGCAGAGCTTCAGCTGCCTGGGGAGCTGGGCAGAGCACCTCTGCTTTTGATAAGGCTCTCAAGTTGAGGAAGGCAGATATTTTGCTCTCAAAGGAGGTCAGATGCACATTGACCAACCTTGGACAGAAGTTCACATGTTGGATCAAAAGATGGGCTCTTCACCTCAAAGGTATCAGTAATAAGGATGTCTTCTGTTGCTCTAGAGCTGTCTGAAGTTGATAATTCATCTCAGCACAGTAAAGCTGGATTGAGGAAGGACACATGAAGCATGGGAAGGGCAGTGTTGTTCCTTCATGACCTGTGCAAGCTACAGCTGTAGTATACTATGAAAGGTGAAACACGTCTAAAATTGTAACACACTGGAGATAAGAAAGCATTGCCCTACACACCTAAATTTATACTGTATTTTCAATGTATACAAGTGGTGTTTACACTCCACTTCTGTTGACACAAGAAAATATTTAAGTAATTTCCAGTGAATATCATATGAACAGCTACTTAAGCAAAAATCTGAAGTGTCTTTTATGACAGATTTTAGTGCTATATAGATGCAGTATGGATAAGAGGAAAAGATATCCAGAGACAAGATATCCATCAGCCAAGAATATCCTTGCTAACTAATGCCCTAAAATAGTTCTTAAGGAACAGCCACAAGCATGGCCAAGTCTTGCTATAGCTTTTCTCAGTCACATCTTTTACTTGAGGAAAAAAGGAAACCTGGATTTACTAACCAGAAGGATGTGCAGATGCCCACAGCTCATTCTAACAGGCCAAGGTGTCTGGCCTAAGGCAAATGAAAGAAGTTTCCTGATATGATAATACACCTTTGCTACAATAGTTAATTATTGCTTTATTAAAACAAAACCCCACCTTTCCAACCTACTGAAGTTGAGGGACAGGGCAGTCCAGAAGGCTTGTTCCCCTACATCAGACTGACGTCTTGCAGCTTGTTTCACCCTTAAGCTATAAACTAAAGTGCCTGAAGCACAGACCAAGGCTGAAGCAATAAAGTGCTAGTTGATGTGGGAAGTGTCACAGGAAAAGAACTTAACTGACACTGTGATAAAGAAGTCCTAAGGATGACTATAATATTAAACAGAAAAATAAAAAAACCCACAACAAAATAAAAATTTTGATCACAAAGTTTCAGTCTCCAGATTGACATGGGACAACTTTCCTTCCAGGGGATAGACTAGAATATTGGCACAGACCATAACAGTCACTTAAGGGAAAAGCACATGCGTGGAAGCATCTTTCCTGCCAACAGCTTTCACACTTCACACATTAAAACTAGAAGAGGATGCCTGGGTATGGAAAAGGAATTCAAGTGAGGAAGAGCCCAGTGTCTTACAGGAGCTAGTAATTCTACACCATTACATACATGTGGAAATAGTTAGCCAGGCAAAGATACCATTTTAATTGCACTAGAGTCATCCAGTTCCCCAACAACTGTAAGGCAAGTCTTGTGTCTGAAAGCCATTTCTAGGGGAAGAATCTTGGTATGATTTATCCTGATTTAAGGGCAGTACATCTAAATAGATATCTTCCTCTTCAACAAGTGAATCACAAACAGAACATAATTCTATGAAATACTCTTAACAATTTTTGCTCTCAGAAATATCCTGCAGATTCTTAATAATTAGTTTCCATTTGGATGCTAGAGCCAGCTTCAAAAAGCCCTGGGTCCAACAAAAAAGTACTAAAAAGATGACTGCATTTAAAAAGGGGCAAAGATGACAAGAAAGCGACTGATCTAGTCCTGGTGCAAGAGAACATGTTCTCACAGAAGCATTAACTGGTATTGCCAGCCTGCAGCTTTTCTGAGTCCCAGCATAAAGACACCCAATCCACAGACAGCTGAAGCATGGAAGTATTTTTAAATTGATTGACTCATGTAAGTGCATTCCTAGGAAGCAAAAAGCTCCCTCAAGAAGGCTGCAACTCCACTGGCAGTAGAGCATCTGTTTTTCCAAGTGACATTTTCATGCCTTTAGACTGAACTACTCACTGGCTTGTGGCCTGGGTTTTTCCATCAGGACAGAGGAGAACAGAGTTATAGTTAGTCATCTACATCTAAACAAGTGCTGCAGATCAAGGTTTTGACCAGCAGGTGAAGGGATTTGACATTTGAAACTTCTACTATATTAAAGCAAGCTGTCTTTAGCTCAATAACCCTGTAACAAGTTGCAGTCAGAAACCTAATTCTTCAAGCAGAGCAGTACATTCCAAAGCCAAGTGACTATAAGTACAAAGATGCTCTGACTAGACATTACCCTCTGCTTTAACTCCACTGTGGAAGAAGACATTGTGATCAAACCCCAGCCATAGGATATCAAGGAAAATGGAAACCTGAAGCAGCAGGTGTGGGAACAAACAAGATGTTCCCAAAGGGAGAAATATACTGAAGTGATCCAGAGTCTTTGGGTCGTTTACTCCTGGCCAGATACAGCCTGCTCTGAGTCTGAGCAGTGAGACTTTGTCTTCTCCCACTGGCAAATGGCATTGGCATACTGCACCACAAGCTTATCCATCCACGTAAGAGGTTCTGGGAATAGTACAGACCCCTCAAAAAATCCCAGATGGCCTCCATGAAGGGGCAGCACATACATGACGTTTTCCCGTTTCTCTGTAAAACAAAAGGAGACCAAGTTCCAGAAGGTTAACATCTTGCAGCTGAGAGAAACCATCTTGTGATAATCACCTTGACCCTTGGCATAGTATCCGACCCAAAGGAGCAATTATGTAGGAAGCAGAAATGCACTGGCAGGCCTACTTTGGAGTCCAAAGCACATGCCCTAACTGCTTCACAGGGCAGGACAGTCTGCAGGAACCAATCCCAGTACAAGAAGGTTGCCCAAGAAATGCTGATGGCTGAGTCCTTCCAGCAATGCCTGCACTGCCACAGTCATGCTCCTTTAATGAATGAACATCTTTAACTCAGACACTGTTAACACCATGTCAAGCTGCTCTAAGCTCTTCCAGTACATCAGCCACCTTCCATGGTATAGTGAGAAAAATCCCTGCACTTGCTTCTACCTGGAAGCAGCTGTGGATACTCTGCTTACAATCAGGAAAAGCATGAACCCTGCTTCCCTCCCTGTGCACCCTCTATTTGTGTGACACAGCAGCAGCCAGCTCCCTCTTCTGAGCTTCTACAGGCCATTTGCTCTCTCTTTTGGCTGAAGATAGAACTCCTTTCAAGGAAGAGATCCTAAGTTCAGTATCAAACAACACAGCCCCTGCCCCAGTCCTTCATCAGCATAGGGGGCTGTTCATCTGTACTTGATGAAGACTATCACTAGAATAACCCACATTTCTACTAAATCCCAGAGAGGAATGGAGACACAAGGAAGCATTTTTTCCCATTCAATAATGTAACCTGAATGTAAAATGCTGGCTGTTAGAACAAGCCAAACCAGCAGAAGGGGCCTGAAAGGACTCAAGATCTTCCTGCTCAAGGTTAGCCTTGTTAGTTCTAGTGACTGGTGATCTAAAGAGGCTTAGGACACCTTCCACAGGATTACAGATGTAAGGAGGCAAGTCAAGCTGCTTTGAAATCATGGATGATGTGATAAGGAAGCAGCAGATAAAAATGTGCACAGCTGCAGCAAACTGTTTCAACATACCTGAAAGAGCTCTTGGAATTGATAGAAGACTCTCATGCACAAGAGGGTCATCAGCAGCATTAACCAACAGAAGGGGAACATGGATCTGCATCAATAAGCATGGCAGAAAAGGGAAAAAACAGTAAGGGGGTTGGTATTTAAATTTCAGTCTACCAACTGTAAAAGCATCTTAGCTCAACTCCATTAAGACACCTTATTTCAGAATTGAGCTATACCTGGAGAAGCATCAGAAAAGCAGAGATTAGAAATTTATAGTGGCTTTTTACCAATGATGTACTTGAGAGCTTGACTGTTTTGGTTTTTTTTCTTCAACTCAGCTGTACAAAAGGGGAAAGGGTGCACCAGAGCAAATACAGATTGAGTCACAGATCTTCCCTACTCTCAAAATTCAAATAACTACACCCTTTTTTGCTCTGTATTGCTTTGCACATCAGGCAGCTAGTGCCAGCTTTGTTATAAACACCTTGGTTGAAATCCAGGAAACTCCCTTGGACCATTCTCCATCCTCTGGCTCAGCAGATCAAGAAGGAACTAAATCTTCCGGTTCCACTTCAGCAAAACATTGGTCTGCTAAACATCTGCTGGTCAGATTGCAATTTAAGTTTCTTCCACAGTAAGTCTTTCTTCCTTGAGACTGCAGGCTCTGTGCCACCACTCACTTCCCACCTTGTCCTCATACACTCAGCAGGTTCAGCTGAATGCATGGCTTTATCTAGATCACTTGGGTGCTACTACCTGCCAGGGTTCTAAGCTTTTAAGAGCCCAGAGCTTTCAGCCCCAGTATTAAGAGGTAGCAAGAACTGAAATCCTACTCTAACATACTGTGAGTGATTATTTCTGAGAATCCCAGATAAGACAGCTGTGCCTGGCTATCAACAACAGAAACCACAGTGCAGTTTCTCTCCAGTTGGAAAATGAAGGTACAAGAGCAGCCTTTAATGCAAGAGCTTACCCTGTGCAGATACTGCAGGCAGCTTTCTTTTTCATAATATTCCTTCAGGGAACTGTAGCCATGGAACTTCCTGAAATAGAGGAGACTGTCATTGCAATCACCTGCTTCTAGTATCCACGTGACTCACTTTCAAGTGAGAAGACATAATGCAGAGATAAGAATGATGCTTCACTTTTCACAGACAATGCTCTTTTTCCTCTAACCAGTGCCTCTGCAAAACTCACCCTTGGCAGCACAAGCCTTTATACCTCCTGGGCTTACTCAAACATTGTGATAGAATGGCAAGTTAAACATGGAAGTTGAAGTCTAGCAACTTTCAAAGCACTTCTTTTGAAGTATCTCACTCCACTTAATTGTACATGTGGAAGAAAGAAAAGGTTGTGATCTTGTTCATCTTTACCTGAAAACCTTTCAGCATACAAAGCCACCACAGCTTATGAACCTCAAACATTCTGCCTACAAGGCATCCAAAATTCACTGTCCTTCCCATTCTTTGCCAAACCCTTAGCACCCCATCCCACACCAAGAATTCAGTAAACTTGTACTCTAGTGCCTATTTTATTTTTTTTTCATAAGAAACAACATAGCTGTCAGCCCAAACTAGGAAGGCCTCAGGGATGAGGGACAAGTAGGGAGATTTCCCCCAGAATGGCTTTTAAAAAGCAACCAGCAATACTCTTAGTCTGCCCAAAGCATTATAGCTGTATAGCTGACAGCTTAGTGACATTTTGGAAAGCTGTAAACAATTCTACAGAATATGCCATGATACGAACAGTGCTACTGACACAAGTGCTGTGCTGTTTTCAAGCACACAGGCAGTAACAAGCTACTGCTTAATAAAGCAGAAAGCTAATGTTAGTGTGACAAGTAAAAGAGGCTGTATTATCTCAGCCAACCCTAATGTTTATTGAGAAGGTAGTAGTGGTTTTTGGAGAGAAGGGGTTTTTTCCCCAAAAAAATTCCAGCAGGGCTAAAGACTCATTTATGAGTCATTCTGAGCTGCTTTCTACATTCTGCCCTTTTTTTTTTTTGCTAGATCTTGCAGGCAGAAATGGCCTCTTCCTATATTATTGAAGGCTGCAGGTTCATATTTACTGATAAACAGATGCCTCCTGAGTCATTTTATGGAAGTTGTGACTGTCAAGAATAAGTTTAGGTTTTTTTCTGGTAAGTTTCATTCAATATGAAGGCAAGGAAGAATTTTAGGTTGTCAGCAATGTATTTCAGCAGATTCCTAGAGGCACAGCAAAGGGCACCCAACAGCAACACCTGAAAGGGAAGGGACTTTCAGAGATCTACATGGGATCAGACAACCACCCTTCATACCTCATAATGTTATCATCAATCTGCATAAGGGATGTTGCTGTATAGAGTTTGCTCAGATCTGCATCTAACAGGCTCTGTGGCTTCTTCAGGTTGTTATCTCCAAAAAGAACTTGCCTGGAAGAGGAACATCAAGAAAAACATCCAAATAACAAAAGGGCAGTAAAGCCATGACCTGTTCAAGAACAACTGAATTTACCAAGTCTGAAAAGAACAGAAGCAGCTACATATACACGAGGTTTTATTTGGAAGAAGGACAGCTTATTGCTTCACCTCCCTTTCCAGCAACACAACAAAAACTCTGGCAGCTTCTTTATAGAAAAGGTGTTTTTCTATTATACTGAAAAACTGCACAAGGATCTTCCCAGAACAGACAGCACTAGGGGTATGTGGAACAGAGGCTGCATGTTAAAGGGAAGGTCCTTTGGCTTCAGACCAAACTTGTGGGTGGCTGGGGTGAGAGCACTAACAGTCCTGGGCAGAGCATCTCCTTCACCATCTGGTCCTAAAATCTCCCCAGCACAGATATTAAGATAGCTCACACAGCAGAAATTACTTGGGGCATTACCTTAGCAGAAAGCTATTTACTATGGACACTTCTCATAATTAGTTATTGCCCTCAGGAGAGGATGTTTCTTTACCAGAACAAACTGCTCCCTTAACAAATAGAACAAAACCCACAAGTTGGAAAAGGGTTTTTATTTCCTTTCAGAGGCAGCTGCAGGGCAGAGTAGGAGGGAGGCTAGATTTGATTTGGGGGAGTTGCCTTAGAGCACAAGTGATTATGGAAAAAAGTTTACATAAGACTCTCCTTTGAGCCAGCAATGTTTTTTTTCTGGATTATAAATTTAAGTACATTTTAATGAGAGCTTACCTAACTTCACATGTTAAATTTGGTCAAGTTGACTAAATATTTGTCAATCTGGAATGAATTGTGTGGATCATCCTACATGTCAGCTGCCCTAATTCCTTCTACAAGCATTTCATTTTGCACAGGAGTGTAAACCATTCACTGAAAGTTTGCAAGTGACACGTGTTCTTAATTGGAGTGGTTCTTAGATATTCCCATCCTTCTCCCTTGAGTCAGGCAACTTCAAATATACACAGATGAGGTACCTACACATTTACTGCCTTAGAAAGAAGTACCCAGAAAACTTGTGATGGAAGAAACACACAGAGCACATCACGTGTTTAACAAACATTCCTTTGGTGTGTGAGAGCCACAGATCACAACAGCAGCACAGGACCCTACAAGTACACTTGTCCTCCAGGAGGAGCAACACTAGGTATTTTGCTGACTACATGTTCTCTCTAGAGGAACAGCTAGAAGCCACAGCTACAGTTTGACTGTTTGCTTATTTGATAAGCAGCAGCCCCATACAGCAGATCTTGAAGATAAGTCCTACCTCAGGTAGGTGGCAGAACAAGAGGCTCCTTGAATAGGGAATTCTTTGGCTAGAAGTGAAACAGATGCAGAACACTTGGCTTTGAAGTCTAATTGCAATGTTTTCATGTGCACAGCTTGTTTATTCATTAAGTTTCCTCAGAAGGCAGAAAGACAAAGCCTGCTTTCTTATAACAAGATCACCAAAGCTTATTTGTGTATTTTACAATATATGGATGAGATTGACATGGGCTTCCCTTCTCTGTTGGTTCATCTAAAGGCTACCAAGAAAGGAACTGGTGCATCATCTTTCAGGAGTCCTGTTTTAAAGGACTGAGAAGACAAATCCAATGTAGCAAATGACCCAGTTGATACTGTCAGTTGAAGTGATGTACTGTAGTACCTGTGAGAAAGGATGATCTTCTTCATGTTGTCTGCCATGAGGAAGTTGTAAAATCTTCTACAGTGATCCCACTGCATGAAGGTTTCCTGTGCCCTAGAAAAAACACAGCGCAGAACAATCAAAGCTGTTAATGTAGATCTTGTAAGGTCAGATTCATACACTGTAACATCTTCTGGCAGCCTGGAGGCTATGTAAACAAATCTGCAGGCCTTCCCTGCCACGGCTTAACCTTCTCCAGGAAGTTATTTCCACTTTGATGAAGTTTGGTAGTATCAGAACACAGATGTCCAGTCTCATTTTGCACAACACAATTAGCTGTTTTGATCAGAGAATTTAAGAGCCATCAATCAAGAGCTGCAACACCAACAAGAGGATTTTAGTGTCCCTTTGCACAAGTTAAATGTAATTTACCTAGTGGGACTACCAAAGAACTAAAACCTTTGTTGAACAAAGTGTTGTCTATCATGTATATTAGCTCTGCAGAAGAAATAATGTCCAAACGTTTCCAAGATGTACAGGCACTATTATTGTTTTAGCTTCTTTGGCAGGAGCTGTAGGACTAAATACTAGCTGCAGCTGCAAGTGGCATCTGAGTTGAAATCTTTACCTATTCTCAAAGCAGAAAAGCACTTGACAGCTTATCTGTTGCTAACGCAGAATTAACACCATCCAGACCCAGTGAGCTTTGCCAGATACCAGCACTGCTTTGCTACGCAGGGTCATGGGCAGGTTACAGCTTTAGTCTTCACAGAGTTGGCTGTTACTGAGGAAACACACTATCATTTACTGAGCAACCTAAGACTGCTGGGAGCAGTTTCAGCTACTGAAGTGCTCCCACCATTTAAACATTAACATACCATGACAACTAGAGCAGATTTAGAATGACCTCCCACGTCACCACCTGCAAGCCCTGTGCCAGAGCAAAAGCTTTTTTTAATAGTAAAGCCACTTTTAAAAGAAAGTTTTCTTATCTTTATGTCTAGCCAGACTATGCATACCATATTTAAGCCAGGGCAGGGGAATGAAGGAAGACAGGAAGATGCCCATTTCTTTCTTCACAAAAGATTTTCGAAGCAAACTTAAGTTTTTACAAGAAATTTGAAGTTAAAGCTACTACATTTCCCTGTAGCACACAGTAATGCTCCTACTATGAAAAACTGCAAGAACTGAAAAAAGGCAGCTTCCAGTATTTTGAGGACTGCGCATGTTTCAAAGCTGAGAACTCTCCCCACAGCCTGTAGCTATAGTGAAGATGCATTCCACAAGATCAAGAAGCAGAATCAAGCCTGTGCAGGCAGAGGGCAGAGATTAAGGAACACAAAGACATGTCCCTGTTTAGCCTCAGGGAAAAAATTCCTCAGACTGTGTTAAATCATTGAACTAAGAATCTCATTCTTCTGGCAGACCCCTAGTATTGCTGCTACTTCATTATGCCCATCTATGGGACTCATGCTTAGTGCTCTGGAAAGACTTTCATATTTCAGATCCCTGACTCTCCTTGCTCACCATTATTTTTCCCTCCCTTCTCTTCCTAAAGTGAAGTTGTCTGGGGAATAAAGGCTATACAACCTAATAAAAAATAAAATGGAACTGTAAACTAACTAGTGATGTTTGTCTGGGTAATGCACTTTCATGTAGCCCAGAGGGATGAGGCCAGTTATTTTAACCTACCAGATAAAGCCCAGGAAGGCTAAGGCTTAACCATTAACCTGGAGGTGCTTTGTATCTTCTACTTCTATAACCAGGAGCCTCCCTACTCTGCCTTTTGCTCAGTAGATATTTACTGATGTTGCTTTCCCCTAGCTCTTCAGCTAAACAGCATTTAAAGCAGAAGTAGGTACTGGGCAGGGAAACACAGGATCTGAAAAGCCTTCCTGTTGACTGCTCAGTAACACACAGCACATCTTTTGTGACCGAAACTTTGCTAGTAGATGTTTACCCAGCAGGTGGAGTCAATAGCTCAATAACCCACACAGCCCGCTTAAGGCTTGTATTGAAGTCAAACAAGCAGCTGTTACTTTTCCACTCGAACATCCAAGTGCAGTATTGTTAAACAGGTTGTCCTTGCCCTGCTGTTCTGCCAGCACTTCATCACATACCACTGCAGAAATCGGCTTAAGGATCAACATTACTTGCAACATCATTTTGGAGACCAGAAACACAATATTGTGTAATTGCAGAAGATGAAGCAAGTGGACTGCAGCCAGATGTGATCCTTGCAAACCCTGTCTGATGCAATTGAGGAGCTGGCTTCAAAAGGATGCTCTGTGCTCCACGCCAGAACCCCCAAGACAAAGAACGTTTTACTTACAATGGAAAAACTGTTTCTGAAACCATCTGTTCAGATTTTAATGGTGGAAACTCTTGGGGACCTAGCAGCAGGTTATATACTCTTTTAGCAGTAGTCACATCTGATCTCAAAATGGATTAGGTGTGCTGGAATATTACTGAAGTGCACATCAAGCTTTTAGTCCACTTTAATGTTTCCAGAAAAGCATCTTTCACCTGTGAGAGCTTAACTCATAAAAAGTGTCTTTAGACTGCTGAATATCAAACTGGTCCCTGCACAGGCAGAGCATCAGCAGCATCAAGAGAGTTCCAGCCTTAGCCAGGCTGGGAGGGTGAATACCATGGCAACCCCTCACAGGGCTGCCATAGTTACACCATTATCATCTGTCCAACAGATCTGAACCCCAAGAGACCCTGGTCTCAACAGCCCAGTTTGCATTTCAAACAGTTTCAGGGCTCAAAAATGCAGCTAGTTTAATAGTTATCCATATATACAGATGGTAAAAACTGAAAGCAGTAGCTTCGCCAATTACACTGTTTTAAGCTTCATTAACTGTCCACACATGCAAAGTTACTGCACATTACTTGAGCCACCAGTTTTCAAGCAGCAGTGCTGTACTCAGGTCCCTCACCAGTAAATTGTTAGCACTAGGTGGAGCCGTTACAGCTCTTGTGAAGTGCTGCAGCCTTAGCTTCCAGGTGGGGAACCACAGGTTAACACTTCAGGCAGACTTTAGGGCTGTAAGCCTTCAGCTCTCCACCTTCCAAATCACCTAACTTGGTTGCAAGTGCCTCTCCATCTCTCATCAGCCCACAGCACCGTCGAGCTGATGAGATGGAGGACTAAGTGGGGAGCCTGGACTGCCAGTGTAGGAGCTGTCTCCCTCTTCCCAGCCTTCCCAGGTAAGAGATTCCAGATGGAACTCCACACTGAACCCAGAAAAGTTAATAAGAACCAAAGGGTGATTTTCAGAGTGATGAGAAAGTGTAAACTATTGCCTGCAAACCTAGTATCATCTCAGCACTTTGACATACTGCCCGGCCTGCCTGGTTAATTATAACCAGAACTACACAAGAAGTGTCTCCTCTTAGGACACTGGCAATTCTACCATGACACTGAGTTAGGCCAGCTATCACTCACACACCAGAAGCTGCCAGCATGTGCCTGGCCAGGTATAGAAAGCTTACTCACATTGTTGACAGAAAGTTTATTTGTGCTGCCAAAATACCCAAGCTTTGGCTGCTCCTTCAGGAGGGTGGTATCCCACACACTGCAGTCTGTCAGAGCAGTTCAATGCACGAGAAGCAGCACACTTCCAACAAGCATCCTGCCAAAGACCTGCCCTTTCCTGCACCTCCAGGAGAGACTAGCATGGTCTTAAGACCTACCTCAGTGCACTGTACCCCTGGCACACGCTGACGCAGCACAGCACTCGCTCCTGGTTGGCCTGGCTCTCTCCCACATATTTGCACACAATGTTTCCACCCAGGCTGAAGCCCACAACGACCAGTTGGGTCTGAGGGTAGGTCTTCTTGATGTAATTAACCATGGCACCAAATTCCCAGGTGCAACCTAAAAATAAGAACAAAGTCAAGAATCAACTTTTAACATGCCCAAATTCCCACTTCAGGCTCTCGTTGCATGTTTTATGTCCCACTTCTTATGCCTTGACTTTTCTACAACCTTAAGGTTTTAAAAGCTCTGATTCACGTGTTCATTTATCCATTTTATGAGTACTGTGGACCTTAGTTCATGCCTAGTTCTGACAGAGTGCCAAAGATGAAGTTAACTTGCTTAGAAATCATGGAAATAACTAATCTGACAATCCAAACTCTTCTTTCTAAAGTGGTTTTAAATAAAAGCAGAGTCCAACAACTCTGGACTTGACATTTCTATCTAAGAACAGCACACATTGTTACCTTCTTGAGGCAGTTTGCCACTTCAGAACTTAGGTGGGGTGTCTAGAAAGCAGCTTTCTCCTTTTGCTTTCAGCAAGGTTGCAATGGATCCTTAAATCCATGCTGATGCAGGGAGGTGATGAAAAAACAGGATTGGCTTGTCAGGACTGAGCTTTCAGTGGACTCTTGCAGGGCCTGCCTGAGCAGCTGCCCTCTGGAATCAGAAGGGAGAGTTTACACAGAAGCAGCCAGGCCTCTTTAACCACTGAAGAGGTAAAGATACTGCAGCTTCCTGGAAGACCTGTTCCAGAGAAGAGCTCACCACCCCTACACAGATCCACTCTGCTCTCAGTTAATATCCCTACTTGCATCCCACAGGGTGCAAGCACCAAGGGATCCAACTTCAGGAAGCACTGGGTCCTCAGATTGTGGAGGTCTCTAGCCGTGCAACATCTGAATATCTGCAGCCATTTCTCCTGCCTTTGAGTCTGGGAAAAGAATGAGGAAAAGCAGCTGCAAAACTGATGGCATAAGTACACTGGTATCAAGCCTATATGCTTTTTAACCTTCCCAGTGGATTTAAGACTGCAAACCACACAGGAAACACCACATGAACAACAGGAATAAGGCTTCGGCTGTTTATTCCTGTCTAGAGTCAGAAATCCAGCTCTATCCTGTAGAACTCACCCAAGGAGATAAGTCTTAAGAGTTCTGATTGTACCCCATGCCAGTCTAATACTGCTCCAAAGTGCCCTCTGTGATTTGAGGGCAGCTGGCAACTACTTCAGAATCCAAAACTAGCAGAGCAACAGGTCAAGCTTGAGGTAAAGGCTGGAGGATTCAGCCATCCCAAATTTAGGCTACTTGTTCCACAGCAAATATATCAGGAATCCAACAAAAGCTGGAAGGACACCAGGATATTTGAGTTGGAGGCAGAGTATAGTCTGCCCGTGGTCTCGCCAGCACTCCACTTAACAACAATTCTGCCAAGTGATTTACTGCCTTACACAAAGGAAGTGCTAGGCATTCCTTGCCCTTTCCAAGGCTATAAAAGACTTGGGAAAGGTATGTCTCAAGAGATGCCCTACAGAATAACTCCCTAAGGTCTGAATTAAAGCTCCATAGAAGAAAGTACTCAACTTTTATCAAAAAGCAAATGCTTTAAGGATGCCATGCTCAGTTCCCAAGGCATAGTAGTCTTGAGGCCACTAACAGCCTAGGGCATCAACACAAATTGAGGTACTTTGTTTGTTTTTGTATTGAGTGTTTGTTTTTGTACTTGGTTTTCCACCAAGGATTAGATTGAATAACTAACAAACAACAAAGCATTACAGCCTACTTGCCTGTTAGACCCAGAATCTCAAAGCACAATATTTCTATTTTGGCAATTCAACTGTTTCAGATAAACATTCAAACTGTTAATCCAAACTCTTAGCAAATCTAAACTCTTAAGTTTTTGGTTATCTTCAAAAAAGAAATCTAATACCAGTCTGCTAAAACCACAACTTCTGACTCAACATATATGTAGATGTTTGCAGTAAAGAGGGACATAAAGGCTCAAGAGATGTCAGGAATGAGCAGATCAGGTCACAGGCAAGAAGGCCCCATTCTACAAGGATCATGCTACTCACTAGCAGCTCCAAATCCTTTATTCCTTTTAGTTTCCAGGTTAATATTTCCTTATATTCAAGGAGAAAGCCCCAAATCATGGCAGTTAAGCACTACCAGTTCTGCAGGTTTACTGTCATCTTATAGAATTGTTGCTGTTCCTTGACAATTGTGTCACATCCAGGAAGCAATCCTCACATGTCCCTCCAAGGATAGAAGTGTTCTCTCTGGGCAGGCTAGTACAAACTCCTCTCACACACTTTACAAAGCCTCAGAAGTTATGTTTATACTTCAGAGTCAGGTTTGTTTCACATTCCACTCCACTGACATTTCAGCATCTTACACATTTAGGAGCTGGGAGAAGAGACAAGGAAAAGTGAATTCAAGTATTAGCCTCCCCTCTTCCTCACATGCAAGTTCAGTTTAGTTCTTAAGAAAGAGTACAAAATTACTGTCCTCAGAGACAACAGTTGCAATATCCTGAAGGAGGCTGACCAAGCCCTAGGAATTCCACAGGCTTGGAAAACAAGTCCTCACTGCTGTGAAGCACCTACCATACGTGAACATCCGTGGAGAAGTGAGCTCAATGTTTGGTAAGGCTCCCAAGTGGTTCAGGACAGCACACCTGTACCCATTTTTTTGAGCATAGTCAACAAAAGTACGGATATACTGCTTTTCACTGTGGTTGGCAATCCCAGGGCAGATCACCATCGTGACATCATCTGTGCACAGAAAGAGGAGGAAGTTAAGTAAATGTCACTTCATGCAAATTAAGAGATTCAGAAGGTTTCCATTTCAGATTCGTGGGAAACCATCTACTAGAAGCAAGCCAAAAATTCTACTAGTCTGCCAAAAATCCAGTATGGGACTGGAGACTAGCAGCTCTAGTGCTACAGATGTGAAAAAGTAATTCATGTTACAGGAGATGAACAGTTTTCTAACTTCAGGGAAAGCTGCCCAAGCAGTTCTACAGGCACTGCCTAGAGACCAAGAGTAAACTACTCCTATTGAAGGATGTTTTTGACATTACACATGTTCTGCCTTCTGACAGCCTGTTCTGACTGCTAAATGTGTGGAAGCTCTGGAGCCCAGTGCTTGGTTATGCACCAAGTAGATGGGCTATATAATTGTTCCCTCATTTCCCTTCCAGAGTTGGGTGTAACATATCTTTGCTAAGCACAGACATTCTGACATTGACCATCATCTGCTTTGTGGCTGATCTAATGATATTTGTTCTGCTGACACTGTTCACTAGCTTAACAAGACATCATTTCATCAACTAAGAAAGCAATTGTTGTAATTCAAGTAAGCACAGTAAATTACGTTCAGGATTAACATGCACTTCAAATTAGCTATGGGACTCTTACTGCAAAGCTCCACTGCTTAGCAGCTGTAGTCATTGAAGTTTTGCCTGACTAGGAAAGCACTGCTCAGATGCTCTCCAGTGACAAAGATAACAGTAACTGCTCTAGTGCAGCATTGTACCATGAGGATCTCAATCCTCACAGTCAAAAGAGCCCTGCTTTTTCTGAAGGCCAAGTGGTAGTCATAGGGTTACAGTGAAATCAACTACTGCAGGACTAAGCTGTGCTTCTGAAGTCAAGCCACAGCAACTAGGTTTTAAGTGGTGCTGTTTTTAGCAGTAACAGTGAGATTGAAAGCTGATGTCCATGCTGAATATACATACACAATGTTGTAAGGAATCACCATGATTTTCTACTTCTCATGGTGTTCTGTGTCTAGATTCCTTCATACTCTGTACATGTGGAGCTAGTTTTTGTGTATCTTTAAACATCTGTTGTTAGTAAAGACTACCAAGAATATGATTCTAAGGGTGAGAGAGAAAGTCTAGCTTCTTTTCCATGCAAACCAGACGACAAAGCACCGAGCTCTCCTGTGTGCTATGATCCCACTGCCTTAACAGGCAAAGGGCACTCCAAACAAGGTTTATCACCAGGTTCTCTTTGCCAGTCTCTCACTTGAGAGATGGATTATGGAACATTTCTTCTGTTCCTTAACTTCCCTTGCTACAGTTATTCTAGTAGGGTCTCTCCTGCTGTCTGACATGTAGGTGTACATCAAGATAGCCTCCCAGCTTCCACACATGGGTTAGTATTGCTAGGCAGGCCTCTTCCATTGCCAGAATTATATCTATTCTTTCTGATCAATCAAGCAGCAATGTTTGCATCCATCCTCCACAGCACAGAATCCAGGTTAGCAGCTGGATGCAGCAGTTGTTTGACTGACCTCCAGTGCAGTGCTCAGACTGTGGCTCAAAGAGATCAAAGGTGGCTGTTGCTCCATCTGGCATCGTCAGGTACTTGCGGAGTCCATACGGATGTGGTGATCTCACTCTCCCCATTTTTCCATAAAGGGCAGTCTGGATATGTCCACTCTTTAC